ATCTAAATAATTGTAGTGGAGGTGCAGCTAACCTAGCCCTTAGCACACTACATAATGTATTCATCATTGATTGATTAAGTCTTAATTGATAGGATTTCACACTCTTAACACATAGTATATTAGAAAGACTTCACACACTGTTACATACTAGTATATAGATTTGTTTCAGTAAATAAACCTTTCTTGCTTTTCCAGAACACATACTCAGAGATCTGTGGTTTATACTGCTCTTAACCTTATATTAGGTCATGAGAACTGCATACCTCACTTGAAATGCACATCACTTGACACGGGTCTGTCCGGCATCTTCTCCAACTCACTACCAAGTGGTGATCAGTTGACAGCTCAGCCCCTCTCTTTACACGAGTGTCCAAAACAAATGGCCGCAAATCAGATGACACGACTATAAAGTCAATCATCGATCTACAACCTAGGGCATCCTAGTGCCAAGTGCACTTATGGACACCTTAATGTTCAAACATGGTGTTTGTGATGGACAAACTATGACTAGCACAGAAGTCCAACAACAGAACACCGCTCGGGTTCAGATCAGAGAGGCCGTTCTTCCCAATCATGCCCCTCCAGGTCACACTGTCATTACCCACCTGGGCATTGAAGTCCCCCAGCAGAATTAAGGAGTCCCCAGCTGGCACACCTTCCAGCACCCCTGCCAAGGACTCCAAGAAGGCCAGATACTCTAAACTGTAATTCGGTACATAGGCACAAACAACAGTCAGAGCCCGTCCCCCCACCCGAAGGCGAAGGGAAGGCACCCTCTCTACCTGGGAGAACTCCAATACACAGGCAACAAGTAGGGGGGCTACAAATAGACCCACACCAGCTCAACGCCTCTCACCATGGGCAACTCTAGAGTGGAATAAGGACCAACCCCTCTCAAGGAGATCAGTTCCAGAGCCCATGCTGTGCGTCGAGGTGAGCCCAACTATATCTAGTCGGTACCTCTCAACCTTGCACACAAGCTCAGGCTCCTTCACTGCCAGAGAGGTTACATTCCATGTCCCAAGAGCTATCCTTGGTATGCCAGGGTCAGAGTGCCATGGTCCCCGCCTTCGGCCACTGCCCATGGCATCATGCACCCGACTTTTATGGCCCTTCCTTCAGGTGGTGGGTCCACAGGAAGGCAAACCCATGCTGCTCCTTCGGGCTGAGCCCAACCAGGCCCCATGGGCAGAGACCCTGTCACCAGGTGCCTGCCGATGAGCCCCTTCCGCAGGCCTGGATCCAGGGTGGGGGCCCGGTAACCCACATCCGGGGAAGGGACACTGAGTTCCTTGTTTTGTTTTGTCCATAAAAAATTTCTGTATAGCTCTTTGTCTGGCCTGTCACCTAAAACCAATCTGCCTTGGGAGACCCTACTAGGGGAAATTATAATTGTCCCCAACAGCATAGCTCCTAGGATCATTCAGGCGCGCAAACTCCTCCACCATGATAAGGTGGCGATTCAAGGAGGAGTAGCTTGAAAAATGAAGACATCGGGTTAATTTTTTTATTTATTTTCTCAACACCACAAACTGTATGTCACACAAACACTGATAATTAAATGGAACACACTATTAAAATCACGTTAACTGTCAACTGCATTAATGAACTGGACTGTGCTCTCTGTTTTCAGCCTGGATGCAGTAAATGGACTGTACTTATATAGCGCCTTTCTATCTTATTTCAAGATACTCAAAGTGCTTTACACTACAATCTATGTCCTCATTTACCCATCCACACAGCACTCTACTAGAGCTCTACAAAGCTAATTAAACAAATCATTCTAAAGAGACTAATCAGAGCTTTATCACATTCAAACACCAATGGGACACACATCGGAGGCTATGAGGGGTTCAGTGTCTTGCCCAGGGACACTTCGGCATGTGACTGCTGGTGGATTCGAACCCCCAACTCTCGCATTGGAGGACGACTGATCTAACTACTCAGCCACAGCCACCCTACAGTGGTCCCACGTTATTCATCTGGCTTGTTCATGCTGTCACTCCTTTGATTAATGTAGCTTAAAACATTATGTGGATTGAATAAAAGAACTGAAAGGAATTTTGAATGAATAGTTCATCCAACATCTCTCTCTTCGACATCCTCCTGCACTGCACTTGGGCCGAGCCTCGTTCAGAATCGGTCCACCTGATGGAGGACAGCTTCTTCTTTCAAGAAAAATAAAAACTCAGAGGGTTCTTGTGTGATCAAAGTAAACACAAGCTAACATTATTAAGAACGTTGATTTACATGCTGTAAATCAGCTACTGATTATCACAGAGTAAAGGCCGACATCGTCGACTCAATTCTGGGTCACTCAGCGACCTGTGTGGAGCTGTTAGATGAAGCGGTCCTGCTTGGCATCAAATCTGTCGACTCTTATCCAAAATCCAGCCAAAATCCAGCTTTAACTTGTTAAGTTGTTGTTTCTGAGCTTTTAGCCCAGAGGAAAGGAGCATGCCGAGGCAGCATGCATGTGCATTAGGTGAATGTACAAAATTCACAGTAACAACTAATGATCCAGCATGGTAACTACAGCGGATTCGGGAGGGCGGGGGGGTGCGGGATTCCTCCAGATGCATGTAAACACTAAATCCGTCCGTGTCAACGTGGATCTTTTCCTCTAATTAACATACAAAAAAAACTACGTTTTCCCCCACCATGTCTGTGTAAATAGGGCCTAAGATAGAAGATTTTTCAGAACATTTATTGTTCTGTCTGGTGGGAGAGTCAATGAGTTGGGTCAGATTAAGTGATATGTAACATTCCTTGAATTTATCACAGAGGGGGGTTGACTTTTCCCAGTTAATATTTAAATCTTCGGCAAGTAAATTTTCTTTGAATTGTAAATTAGCTATGAAGACTATCAGGGAAGATAGAGCCAGAGACAGCCAACTACAGATAAGATCTGGCCTCCATTCAAAGTGATGTTTACAGCTAAGGCCTCAAATTGGTTTGGGATTGTTTTGGCTGACACGAGACTAGAATCCAGGGTTTCTCTGATGTAAATAGTGACTATCATAGCAATAAGTATAAAATAAATACATTGATTGCCAGGTCAATATTCAAGACATATTTGTTTGGCCAGGATTCAGAGATGAAGATTACATCAGCCCCAGAGGAACGGACCAGAATTTTCAAAGTGTCATGTTTTCTCAAAAAAACTATGTGCGTTTACTTGCAGAAAAGGAAGTCCTGACATGTTTTTAAAATCATTTGGTGTGCTGCAATGAGTGAGAGGTCCAGGGTTGGGCTGAATTCATGAGAGCAGTAACAACAGTATTATCAGACATTTCCTTGTGTTTTTTGTGACATGTGTAATTACAGGAGTTAACAGTGTGACAATTAGCCTCCATAATTGACCCATGAGAAAAGTTAAAAAAGACACAAACCCAGAAACAATGAAGATTGCAGGGAGAGGCAGATCCAGATGTGTCAACAATGTTCAGTGACTCCAGATATTCAGAGACCTGAAAATGATGGGGAAATTGAGACTGATGCAGAAAAGTCTCACACTAGACAGCGTCGTAGATCAAATGGTCCAACGGGTCCAATGTTGTGGTCCAACTGGAGTTTGAATTGGGCTGAGGGGAGCATCCCTGTGAAGATGAATCGCTCCAGATCCAGCTGCTACAGCTACAGCTGCTCTCATGATGAACAGATGCTGGGTTCAGTACCAACAGGCAGAAGCTGATAATCCACAACAAATAGCAAAGCATGGTCCTGACTTGGTTCAAATCAACAAAGGACAACAGCATGATCCAGCTCCCGAAGGACCCGCATGGATCTAAATTATTATCCAGATGAGTTTTAGAAGCCCAGCAGAACTCCGATGCAGACTCCAGGTTTCTTTCGATCAGCTGCTCCTGCTCCTCTGCACTTCACAGCACTAGAGCTTCCTCCAGGCGGACAATGATGAGAACTGACCAAAGAGGCTGAACGTCATCCTTGGCTTAGTTTTGTTCAGGTCCAGTTCCGGCGCTTCACAGCACGAGGCTTCCTCCAGGTGAACAATGACGAGAATTGACCAGAGAGGCTGAAGTCGTCCTTGGCTTGGTTCTGTTCAGGTCCGGTTCTGACAAGCACCATCGCTGCCAACAGCAAACCTTACAGAGGTGGGCGATCCTTCGGTGAAAGGTAATGGGCTGCCCGCTGAAGTTGACTGGCTCTGTTCAGGATGAGTTCCCCCACAGCCCATCTTGGTTTGGTTCTGGTCCATATCAGGTCTACTTCTCCCACACCGACTGCAGACACCACGAGGAGCCAGTCCAACAGAAAGCCAGCAAAATACCACACAGCGATCCTGGTCGGAACCGAGCAGAACCATAAAGTTCTGGATGAAGAGTATGGTTGGGGTCCAGAGAGAAAAAAAACACCGGACCTTCGGACAATGACTTCCCCACTCGAGGGGCCACCTGGTTGGCAGGCTGTGTTCAGAGTGACCGATGGGGTGGGAGCGGCTGGTCTTCGACCAAAAGAGTTTTTTTCGGATGGTCCCATCCAGATCTCTGAGTCACTGAACAACAAATCCAGTTGAAAAAGGGACCAGCATTTAGTCTGGCTTGAAAAACGAGTCAGTTTGCTGTTGTAGGACTGCAGAGAAGCTGGGGAAGCCGCTGTCCATCAGCTTATTGGAAGTCGAAGCTGTGTCATTGTCTACTGTTTTGTTGTCTGTACTTTATATGCCCTGTCTGGAACAGGTTCCCATTGTAAATGAGTCCCTGTGACTCAATGAGGTTAGCCTGTATAAATAGAGGTGGAATTAATTAATTAATGAATGGGAACAGTTGCCAGGGTGAGGGAGGAGTTAAAGATATCGGCCAGCACCTCACAGAGCTGATCGGCACAGACTTTCAGCACCCTCCCTGGGATGTTGTCTGGGCCAACTCAAATGTCTCTTCCATGGTGATGTCAGTTAGTATAAACTCAAAGGTTTTTAGTTTTTAGCTGTAGCTGAATTTGCTTATGTGTTTTTTTGCTTGTTTGCTCCCAACTTCCAGGGAGGACGAGCAGTGCTCTGTCTCTATGGTTACTCCAACCAGCAGCCAGATGGGCTGAGCTTTCCTGACGATGTCACTGATCCTGATGTGGGTAAAGTTGCTGCAGTAACACTTGAAGTAATGAGCCTCAGGATGGAACTAGAAATGCTCATCAAGGTACAATTTCTTCTTGCATTTTTGTTTTATTTATGGATATTTTAATGACAACAAGAAAAACAAGAACACAAGAAAGCAAAACAACAAAACATTAGCATAAAGGAAAACAGAAAGATTAATGGGTCAACAATACAGTGACAAAATCTCACCAAAAACTGGAAGGAAAATCCATCCATCTGTCTATCTATCCAATCATCCATCCATCATCCATCCATCCATATCATCCATCCAGCCATTCATCATCCATCCATATCATCCATCTGTAAGAGTGACACTCACTGCAGCTCCAAGATGGCCGCTAATCACCATCAGCTGACGGTCATCCACCTGACGAGCTACAACCCTACTTAAGGCTGCAGTCGAGTTCTACTCTTCGCTGGAGCATTGTTCCCTTACTATGGTACTTATGCTTCCAGCCAGTCTTGTGTTTATGCCAAGAAATACTTACCTTGTTTTTGTGTGCCTACAGTCATCTCGTTTCGACTCTCCTCGCTCTGGATTCCCGTTTTTGTGCCTTGCCCTCCTGCCACGTGCCTGACCTGCCTCTCCTCTGGGACTCTGTTGGATTTCTTCAGAACACTTCATGCACCATCTCCTCCATCTGTAAGACCAAACAAACAAATTGAATATTATATATGAGACAACTCCTTGGCCTACCCCTTCCTGACATTCCACTTCCTCCTTCAGGGATTCCAGAGGAACCACCTTGTATAATTGTAAATACCACTGTAAATAATAAACACTGTCACTTCTTATTGCTTTGCCTTGTGTCGTTCCGGGTCTCGTTACGAACTGGGTTGTCCTAAATCCATAACAGAATGCTCCAGCCAAACAAAACCCAGAACGAGACCAGGAGCGAACAAGCCTCCTCCTCACAGACGGAGAGAATAGAACAATTATGTGATCATCACAGCCACAGAATCAGCCATCCGCAACAACAAAATTAAAGAGGCTGAAGCAGAACAGCTCAGAATCAAAGTTTCAGCCTGCCTCAGCAATGCCAAACCACCACCTTCCAACATCAGTAGAGAGGAGAGGGATGCACTCACCACTCTGAGCAAGGACAAAAACATCATCATTCTCCCAGCAGACAAAGGAAGGTGCACAGTGATTTTGAACCAGAAAGACTATCATGAGAAAGTTATGACACTCCTTAGTGACTTAACCACTTATGAACCTCTGAAAAGAGATCCAGGAAGTGGTTACAAGAAGAAGTTAATAGATTGCCTGAAAATTTTGGAGCAGGACAAGGCTATTGACCGTTTTCTGTACCACAGACTGTACCCAGGGGAGGCCACACCTAGTCTGTATGGTTTACCTAAAATCCACAAACAAGGTGTACCTTTAAGACCAATTGTTAGTATGATTAACTCTGTCACTTACAATGTTTCCAAATATCTGGCGTCTGTACTCATCCCTTTAGTTGGCAGCTCAGAACACCACATACAGAACACCATGGACTTTGTGGACAAGGTGAGGGATGTCATCATGGAGACTGATGAAACAATGGTCTCTTTTGATGTCACATCACTCTTTACGTGCATTCCTGTTGATGATGCAGTAGAGGTGGTCAGTTTAAAATTAACATCAGACACCACTCTGAGCAGCAGGACCACACTTTCTACAGAACAACTGTGTCAACTCTTGAAACTGTGCCTGCAGTCAACCTACTTGACATATGGGGAGCAATATTATAGGCAGAAACATGGGTGTGCTATGGGGTCTCCAGTTTCTCCTATTGTTGCCAACCTGTACATGGAGGAGGTAGAAAAGAGAGCCTTGACGTCCTTTTCAGGGACACCACCAAGTCATTGGTTCAGGTATGTTGACGACACCTGGGTTAAAATCAAATCTCAGGAAGTCCAACATTTCACTGACCACATCAACTCTGTGGATAAATACATCAAGTTCACACGAGAAGATGTAAAAAATGGCAGGTTGGCTTTCTTGGACTGTGAGGTCTCAGTCTCTGATAGAGGACATTTGCAAACTGAGGTGTACCACAAACCCACACACACAGACCAGTATTTGCAGTTTGACTCCCATCACCCTTTGGAGCACAAGTTAGGAGTCATCAGGACTCTGTATCACAGAGCAGACAGTGTCCCCACTAGCTCAGGAGCCAGGCAGAAGGAGAAATCCCACACAAG